CTAACCCTAACCCTAACCCTAACCCTAACCCTAACCCTAACCCTAACCCTAACCCTAACCCTAACCCTAACCCTAACCCTAACCCTAACCCTAACCCTAACCCTAACCCTAACCCTAACCCTACGCCCTAACCCTAACCCTAACCCTAACCCTAACAGGTCTCGCCGACCGGTCACCTACTCCATTTTAGACGTCCCACTCCGGGTCGCCTAGCGCTGACTTCCTCCGTCGTCCATTCGTCAGAAAAGACATCTCGGTACGCCTCTCGGAGGCAAGCCCCTTGGTGTCATCGTCACAAATGTCAGCAGCGCGGTCGGATACGGTGCGCCGTTGGAGGCCCTCAAGGAGGCACTCCCGGGTTTCCGTGCGTTCTTCTTCCGGCCTTGAATGTAGACCCGGCAACGTCTTCGCTGATATGGGGACGGAGGGAAGGGCCTGTGAGATGGCGTGGTCAGAAGTAGAGCTGAGCTTCTGCACTCAACGTCCTCCAAGGCGTTTTAATCTGGAGTAAGGAGAAAGCAGACATTCCCAGCCAAGAAAGGTGGCCCTCCTGGCGGCGTTTCATGACCTATTTTATTAGGACTCGTCGAAGCGCGCTGTGGGAAAGGAGCTATAGGCCGAGTTCGTGGCCGGGGCTGTGGGCCCCATCCTGCAGAGCGAGACTGTAGAGGCTCACGACCGCTTCCTCGACTACCTCTCTGTCCACGACAGCCTTCCTGACGTCCACACAGCGGGTCTCGCCCACAAGAATGATGGAGGCGCCCCGTCTTTGGCCTTAGTGCTGGCACGGCTGCGGAGAAGAAAGCTCGCAAGGCATGGCAGGTCTTCCCGTGATTTCGGAAGTAGCTCGCTGTCGTGACAGGTGGGCGTAGGATGCGAGGCAGAGGAGTAGGTGTCGCGTGAGTTGGACTAGTGACTTTGATGTTCTTACGTACATGGTATGCACGTAAAGGCTTGCAAGAGATCAGGTCATGAATCATACTGCTTTGAGTAGTTGGATTTAATAGGAGCAGAGACATGGCGCATCTCATCCTATAATCTTTGACCCTGTCAATGTGCCAGCGATGACAGAGTCCGAAGAGCCCTGATGGTTGTTGACGCACTACTTTCTTCTTTCTTAGCCCTTCTCGTTGTTGTAAGGATTTATAGGGGAAGTTTTATTCTCTCGTCGATTCCATCATAAGACTTCAAATATTTTTGCAACATTCAAGCATAGAGATCATAGCCGCTACCATCGTACCTCTCCAAGTGCTTAGAGAGTCTGTGCACAGTCTTTTTGAGGAAGCTCATTTTTAAGACTCTCTTTGATAAATTGGGGTTGCTTTTTTTTAGTTTTCTTGCTTAGGCTGTAGCTAAGTAGACTTTGGCTGTGCTTTTGATATCTGAACGGGGTCTTGAGCATGCATTATGAACTCCTTGGCCATGAGAATTTGTGCAATACCGATATCCTCTTCGTTACCAAACTCAATACCTTAAATTTGATAGAGGAGAAATGTAGGTTGGAAAGGGAGATCAGTGAGTGCTGTCAGCAATGGGAAGAATGGCTGGTATTCCGGAAGAGGGGCAATTGGGCATTTTCTAGAGCGCTGATGGAAAGGAGACACAGGGGACATACTGCAAAAGTGCAAAAGTGAAGTTTTTGCTCAAGAGATTGATAACAATTTACCACGTACCAAGGTATGTTAAGTGGTCGGCAACCTCAGTGGCTTCCCAAAACTGATCTGAGCAAGATGCGTCCTCACCAGAAGCGTCACAAACGACATGCGATGTCATCTTTTCATTGTAAAAAACCTCGAAAGGACTGTGGCGAAAGCCCATCACTAAAAAATATTTTGAACGACATACCCAGAAAAGAACGAGTCAGATCGACAGAAAAAAGGAGACGGGACTGAAGATCGTCGTTCCTGCAGGAGTAGAGTTTGCCGAATCGAAGAAGTTGTACCACATGAAGTCCGTCGAATTCATTTTTCTCATGCTTCCTGCCGTTGAAACTCACCTTTTAAAGGCAAATGAGGAACGGGATCCCTATTGTGGACGAGCCGGAAGAGTGGAAACTCGAAAGACTCTGCCAGCATGGCTATATAGGACGCAAACTAGCGATATTGATGGTGTTGAAGAGGGAAATAGATTGATTCTCAGATTGCCTAAAAGCGACGAAGGTCTATGTTGCACCTTCTGTCAGGATGTAATACGTCGTAGATATATCTTACTTGCTGATTCCCGACGCGGGGCTGGCCAAATGTCACTACACGCTGCACACTCTTCCCGAGACTCATCAAGTCCGCCATGCAAAGGATTGAGAGCGCCCCCCCAAGAGAATGGCCTGTGGTGGAGAGCAACGATTTAATAGGAGCAAGGAGACAAAAATGTGTGGAAGGAGGTCTCCAATGAAGTATTCGAGGGTTCTACTCGTATTCCTCTCTTGATTTTCTTCCTATCCTATCCCCTCGTCAACTTCCAGTGGTTCTATCATCTCTGTAGCTCTATTACCAGTTATCCAAAGCGGTGCATCCGGATGCGTTGCCAGCAGGTCACTAACGAAAAGTCTTACGTCATCTGAGACTCCTGCGTAATCTTTGTTGAATCCCTCGTGAACCTGACAATCCTGAAAGTTACAAAGGATTCATAATTAGTTGAGAGTAAGAGTTTCCTCCCTTTTCCCTTCTGTTTGCGGTGCGATGCATGCTGAGATGATTTTAAAGATAAGCATACTCTACTATTCCTCCCTTTTCTATCGCTTACTTTTCTCTAATCCATGGTTACGTATCTTTATGTCTGGATAAAAATACAGAAATTATAATGTTATTGCCTCTGTTCTTATGGGTTGACTCTTACCTCACACGAGCCTACAGTGTACTCTGTATCTTTGAAGTCTATGTTCGATATCCAGTTTCCGATACTGCTCGCATCCGTGCCTGCAAATGCCACAACGATCGCGTCTGGTCCCCAGCAGGCGGAGAAAAAATGAGACATCACTTTTTCACATATTTTACAAGCAAAAAGTCAAAAACTGAAGGTAAAGCTTTCGATCGTTACACCTGAAATATTACCTTCCTTTGCATCATAACCCACATAACCATCGGCATATCCCTTATGGAAACGACGCACAGTCATGTTTGGGAACTGAGCACAGGATCTGAGTGAGAAAGAAAGTATAAGAGAACGGCCATCAAATAAATAGAAGATGCCACACGTAAGGTTTGAGAATCGAAAACTTTGAGGGTGAAGCTTTGAAAACACGACAATTACCCGCAAGCCCACATCTCGCACGCGGATGATCTGCAATAGTAGGAGGCAGCAGCATAATAGCCCATTTTCTTGGCGATCGTCTCATTATAAAAGAGGTTAGGATCCTGCCATTTAGAGGGAAGATCTATGAAAGATGGATCCTCGACAATAGGCTGCATCGTTGGCGTCGCCGTCGAAGTTGTGGTGGAAGGGGTGCTTGGACTAGACGTGGGTGATACGGTGGCAGGAACAAGTACTTTGTATGTGTCGAACGCAGGATCATACACTAAAGGGGTGCACACACCCATACAGCAGTAACACTGGCGAGCAGCGCTGTTCCAAGTGAATAATAAAGGCACACTTTGCGCTCCATTTAGTGAGCAATATTCAAAACACTCCTCTGGCGTGGTGATTGAGTGAGGCTTGCGCAGTGCAAGCTGCAAACGAGGAATGGGTCCTTCATCCTTGTTCAATTTGGAGTGCTGGGAGAGTCGACGATCATAAAATGGCGCAAGTTGCCGATTTTGCGAGAATCTCTGACCTTCAGCAAACAGAGCAAATGGTTCCGTAGGATCAACAGAGGGAGATGGGGTCGGAGCGCAAGTGGCTGATTGTTTGAGCTGTGGATAACGCACGCGTACGAGAATCGGACTTGGGAGAGATGTCGTACAGATTGTGTTTGTTGTATTGTCAATATAAGCCATCGTATCTACGGCAAGACCCTCGGGAGCGCACTTGTCAACCTGGACCTTGGCCATAAAGCGTCGCTTCCTTGGCCTATCCAGGTCAGTCTGTAGCCAGTAAAGTGCTGTTGTCCCATCGAGATTCTGAATAATTTCAGGCTTCGTGTAAGGCTTCAATCGTGGACGGGTTGCTGTGCGTTCTACGGTCATCCCCCTTGGTAGCATCAACTTAAATTTCAAACCATTTGAGGGATCCTTAGCGTGAAGTGTTACGGAGATCTTGACATTTCCTGTTCCAGCCAAGATTCCGCGTCTGGCATTTGGACGAATCTTGGCTTTCATCATAATGCGTGGACATTTTTGGGATACTGCGCTCAAGATGGTACAGATGCCCAATAGAAAAAGGTAGCAGTATCTCAATGGAAGATACATGCTTAAAGACCTGTGTGTTCGTTGGAAGAAAGTGTGACTTGAAGAGAAAATAAATTGTCGCTGAATGGGTTAGTTTGGTGCATGTTTGTCCCATTAAGTATAGAAACCCAATGAAATATTCAGGGGGTAGAAGACATTCATTTAGAAGGATTCACATGTCAGCGCATGATGACGACTGATATAAAGACATCATCTCAGCATGTGGAGGAAGAAAAATCTGTTCTCTCATTAGCATATTCGATGAGCTGAGCAAAGCCCTAGCTATGTATTCGGATCAAAGAGTAAATTGACATCAAAATCATAGACAAATTCTAGCTAAATACTAGATTTGATAGCCAGCATGAAAGAGAGAACTTCTATTCGCACTGAATGCAAAATGCGTTGATGATATGAAGACTATTTATGATTTGGAAGGAAAAATTAGCACCTCGTCCATAAAAAGGTGTACAAACAAGGGACAGGTACACAACGACGTCCCACAACTGCGAGAGGTCCCAAGGACTACAACAACACAGCGTTTTTTGCTGGACCGCACACTTTCTTGCAGTCTGCGGTGAAGCCCATGCTTATCACTAAGGCCTCCTGAGAGTCGCACGCCTGGAAATCTCGTGGTCTAAGCTTCTACGTGCAACGCTAGCGCAGCTAAGATAGTGAAGCCCCATTTGAAGGAGAAGGATAGCATGTTCCTCTCCAGGGCGAAGAGGAGTGTGGTTTAAAAGGTTCAGAGGGTCGAAAGCACTTGTTTAGAAGGTTAATGCGCCAACACAAGTGATGGCGATTGATGTGATATAAATATCTTCGCATATGGACAAGATCATATTCGCCCACTCCTTAGAATATGCAATGTGCAATGCAAGTCTTTATCGGGTTCTGGTATCAAGTTGAATCGATAACAAACCAAGGACCAACTCTTGCTTAGTATCAACACTTTGGTAGTAAATTTGTGCTACTTCAAAACATGGCCATGGATTAGTTTTAGCGTGGAAGCTATTATCTTGCTTAGAAAGATGTGCAAAGCCAAGAAAGAGTCAGACAAACTGTCTTGCGACTGCGTGAGGTCCCAAGGACTGCGACCACACATTCGTCCGCTTCATGAGTTTATTTCTAGGAGTTCTCCCGAGAATGAGCGACAGAAGGTGAATATTCATTTACTCCGTGATGGAATCTCGAGACGCGCTCCTCTGAGCGCCCTCGGGGAGCTCTCTGTAGATTTATTTGGCCGGATGATGGTGACCTGTACCAGGTTCCAATAACGCGCGCAAATGTTATCAAGAAAGCAACTTTCTGACCCTGTCGTCGGTTTGCGACTTAAGAAGATGGCTTCGAAGATAGATGAAAGCGTTTCGACTCGTACAAGTCTTGTTGACGCTCAGCAACGCAACGAAGCTGGGAGTTGTCAGATTCAGTTCTGCGATCTCAAGAGGAATGGAGTAGTTTCAGTAATATCTACATTCAGTGTCCCGACCTCAGAAAGGCTGCATTCGATTCAATGCTCCGACTTCAGGGGAATCGCGGGAAACATCTCGAAGAGCTGATGATGGGCGAATCTGTATTGGCTTGAAGGTTGAAGGTTCGGCGAATCTCGGGACAGGTCTCGCCGACCGGTCACCTTCTCCATTTGACGTCCCACTCCGGGTCGCCTAGCGCTGACTTCCTCCGTCGTCAGTTTGTCTGAGGAGGCATCGGCAGTTAATCTCACAATAAAGCGTCAAGAAAAATAAATACTTCAGAGGAGGCCTCTGAACGTCGTTCAATACCTGCATCCGCTTATAAGGTAAGGCAGGACCGGGGTTAAATGTGCGTCCTCTCCTTCGCCACTTCACTGCCTGTCGATTCTGCCCCCTCTTCCAAACTACCGTCCATCGGGTCCCCGAAACAGCCTCTTTGAATGGGAGCTTCCATTTATAGGAAGCGCTTTGGAGGGTGATGGAGGCGCCGTGGGTTTTGCCCCACGAAGTCAAGATTCCCAACGAGGTCACGCAGTTTACCCTCGATGAGAGGCGGCTTTACCTTTTGAAGAGGGGAGACCTCGACGACAGGCGCGACTCTATCTTTCGAACAATGGCCTCGCTCTCGGAGCTGGCGGAATCCTGGCAGCAGATGGTGGACAGCTCTGTTGGGGCTCTGCAAGGCCTGGTGGGGAAGGCGGTCGGGAAGCTGCCGGCGGACAAGGCGCTGGCCCTGCCAGAGGGGAAGGGCCGGGAGGACATCCTAACAATCAAGCACGACGAGACGCGCATGCCGCTACGGCCGATAGAATCATGGTACAGGAAAAGTCCCTCTAAGGATACGGAAGTGCGTGTTGGTGGCTGCGGAGAATGACCGACTGCTCGTGCCTTTTCACACTTCTGTCCCTCCCACCCCACCCAGGTCGACTCTCATCGTCCTAACAATAGGTCGTCTCTCCCCCGCATGCAAAGGAAATGTCACATGGAGTTTCATCTTATATACCCTGGCCTCCATCGGGCGCTCCAGCAGGGTCACGTCTTCCCTCACAATGGCGTGGTGGCGGCTGATGCCTTCCTTAGTCTGGCGTTGCAGAAGGCGTTGGACGACACAATGGTGGCTACCTTCACCAGCAACACCAAAAGCCGCAGGGGGCTTGTGTGCAAGCTGTCCGGCGTGGGCCAAAAACAAAGCCCTTTGGACATTGCACCGGAGAAACATGCCATCCACGGGAGGAGAGGAAAGAAGAGCCGACACTACCGGCCAACTTTGTGCCCCTCAATACATGAATATTTCTGTGGGACAGACCACCGTCACCACCCTCAACAATGACCCCGCGATCGTCAGACTTGCGGAGAAAGAGCGCGAATATCTGAAGCTAGTCTTCTCTAGACTGTATAACAAAAAGTGCGTCGACCTGGACCTCCGACGCCACGTGGAGTCCCGTGTCCTCGAGTGGCATCACGCCCACTTCGCCGCGGGAGATTGCTCTGCTCAAGCAATCAGGGCATACATAGAGGAGGACCAGGCGAATGACGGTGGCTTCAGCTTTCGCGCAGGGGTCTTGAGCACAGCACAGGTGCAGCGGCTGATTGGGGAGTGGTTCCGGGAGAAATATGGAAGTGAGCGGCTGGGAGACTGCCAGGACCTCGCCCAGCATCACTTGGATGATCTCAACATTGGGACAGTGGTCGACGAGGGGGACATAACCTTCAAAAGCGCAGGTTCCCTTTTCACGTCTTGCGATTACTTTGCGAGCGGGGACGCGGTGCACAGCAAGGACCGGGACGACAATGGCTGGGCGATTGCCATAGTCATGCCATCTATGATCGAAATGTGAATGCTACACGGGCCTCATGCTAGAAAGAAAACCTATTCCGACATCTGTCGTCTGAGCAGTCAAATGCCAGAATGAAGAATATCACTCAAAACCTGCAAAAAACAGAGGTTGATACTGCAATAGCATTGAAGAGTCTTAAACAATGCACAGACACGTGTACTTTATGCATGATCGCTAAATTATGCGAAATTGCATGACTTGCAATCATCCAGAACTCATAACAGAAAGATAATGATTAAGTTCCATGCTCGTTTAAAACATTCTGCCTCATTGTTCCTGACTGTGGGAGCTGATAATCGTAGCGTGATCTATATTTTGAGAGTGAAAAGCATGGCCTGGCAGAAGCGTTATTACGTTGTGTGGATTACTAGAATGAAGGTACGCCAGGCCTATTGAATGTGCTATATTGATGCCGTAAGGGGTAGTGAAGGAAGTGAGGACGCTGGCGAGGCCTCGCCGGGTCTGACGATAGCTACC